AATTCTATTCAGAGCTCTCTTCATTTCAAAGGATTTAATGCCTTCAAGAGCTTCTTCCTACCTATGTGACACTAATACTACCAAATCTGTGAAGAGTTTACAAGGCATCAATTCCTCAGGCAGCTGCCTGGCAGCTATTTTTCCCAGGTAGAGGTAACATGATACTCTAAAAGAGAGTTCAGACCAAAAAAAAATTAAATAGAGAAAAATTAAATGAAGCAATAAAGCAAATCAATGACTCCATTCCCATATAGTGAATTATAAGAGGCTTGGGGGACACAACAAGACGTTCCATTTGCCACCTGTTTTATTTTTTATTACCATTCTTATTTTATGCTGAAATGTGAAGCATTTTGCTGTTGCTATTTGCTGACCTTGTAGAGTCAGTGCAATAGTAAGAAACTCATGGAAGGTGCAGCAATACAGCAAGGGCCCTCTACCTGGACATTTAATAGCACAGTAGAGACTTTCCCCTAGACTGCCCAGATTTTTAGTGGCATGGCAAGGATGTTCTACCTGGATATATCTGGCAATATTTGGCAACTGGGCAGGAGCTATGGCATGATGCCTTCTGGCAAGGGAATTCAAGCAGTTAAAAGACATTTTAATTTTGGCTAACGATATACCTATAAAAGTCATTTGCTTTTCAGAAACAAAGCACATTAAGCAAGAGAGACAAAGGGGCTTGATTGCTTTATTTTGACTGCTTTTTATTATCTTTAGTGCAGAACTAACACTTCTCATTTTGGATTCATTCTCTGTCAGGTCTTCTGCTCTCTGTCAGCAAGTCTTGATATATTTTGTGCAGTGGAAATATTAATGTGCTTAAATCAAATCCAGCTATTCCTGCAGGATGGTAAAGTGCTGCTCTTATCTGTTCAGCGAATAGGATACTCTTTTAGCCACACCTCTCAAAGTGTCACTGTATTGAAGGGTCTCTCTCACTTTCAATTTAGAAATGCTGATGTTTTGTAACTTGGAATGAAAAAATTCCCTTCGTGTTTTAAAACAATGGTCACACTGATTCATAAATTCATCTACATTAGAAATGGAGACAACCCCACAATATATTGGTCTAGTGCAGGAGTAGGCAAGCTGATTTTCAGTCTCACTCACACTGCCTGGGTCCTGGCCACCGGTCCGTGGGGTCTCTGCATTTTAATTTAATTTTAAATGAAGCTGCTTAAACATTTTAAAAACCTTATTTACTTTACATACAATAATAGTTTAGTTATATATTATAGACTTATAGAAAGAGACCTTCTAAAAACATTAAAATGTATTACTGGCACGCGAAACCTTAAATTAGAATCAATAAATGAAGACTTGGCACACTAATTCTGAAAGGTTGCCGACCCCTGATCAAGTGACTCTAGTTCAGGGGTCTCAAACTCAATTTACCTTAGGCCAGTGCCAGACCTCAAATCCTCCCAGCGGGCCAATAATATCACTGAAGATAGTGTTCAGAAAAGAAAACATTTATATTGTATTTTTTTATTTTGAATTTCTTAGAAATAATAAAACTGTCATACAACTTTATACAATTCTTTGCTTGCCAGAGAGTTTTTAGTGTTTGCCAGACACCTGGCAAAGCTTCAGTTCTGTCAGTTTGTGGATGTTTGGCCTCAGTGACTGAGCAGTTGAAACCTTCAGGATTGCAGAAAGGTGTGCATCAGATAGTTGTGTTCGGTATTTTGACTTGTTTATATTCATTGTGGAAAAAAGTGACGCTACCGCCAAGGCTGACTCTGCCTGGCAACTAATGATGCTGCCTCCATGGCTGACTCTGCCCTGTGACTAGTGATGGTATCTCTATCCCTCTCCCCCAGCCAACGGGAGCTGCGGGGGGGGGGAGGGGGGCGTCTGCGTCTCTCCTCCACGGGCCGCAGTGGGGAGGTTCTCAGGCCGTAATTGTAAATGGCCCATGTATGGGAGCTTCCACACCACTTCCCTTGGGAGTCTATTCTACAGACTAGCACATCCAGTTCTCAGAAAGCTTTTCCTGATATTTATCCTACCTTATCTTTTTCTTAATATTATCCCCCTCCACTTAGTTATAACCATAGAGCCCAAGCTAAATAATTTCTCTCCCTGGCCCATGTTTACATTCTTCAAATATTTGTAGACAGTGACAATATTCCCCAACCCTTTAGTCCTTATTAGCCAAGCTACGCCTGTTTAGCTGTCCTCATCAGTGTAATTCTTCCAGCCCTTAAACAATATTTATTCTTCTTCTCTGAACTCCCTCCAGTTTAGCAACTGAACACTGTATTTAATTTGATTTCAGAGTAGGATAAAGACGGCCTATTGCCTCCCAGCTCCATGATGTGATCTCTTTACAGAGGACCGGAATCAAATACTAATTTGCTCTGGTTTCCTCCTAAAATAAAATAATCAAGTCACTTAAAGTTATAAAACTACCATTTTTTTAAAATAATTTTGGCTGCATTTTTAGGCTCCTATATCACAAAAGCAGCTTTGTTTTTAAAAAGTCCTGCTTATACCCTGTGGGAAAACTCTGACAGATGTTCTTTTTAGTGGGAGTGCTGCCTGTATTTCTTTCATATGAAATCAGGATCTCTGTTCATCTGCCACTCGCCACCCACCTGAAGTCCTAATCCTCTGTGGCATCACAGTTGGATTCTGCAAGGCTGTGATACCACAAATGATGGATTATGACCTTAGATGGGAAATAAGTCTCAGGACCAGGTGAGCTCATAAGAAACAAAGACCCTGTTTGAGTGTAAATGTCACCAGTCATAAAAGAAGCAAGAAATTCTATGTCCAAGATTACTGAAAAATTGTAAGCCTCTTCACTACATCTTTATACCCCCCTTGCTCTTTCTCCAAGCAGCTATATGCTTGCTGGCTGGCCACTGAGGAGAGAAGCTATTTATAGAGAGGTTTAGCAGTGTGGGACTGGGGACTAGAGAGCAGAAGGCCAGTTCCCACAGAGGTCAGTTTTGTACTTGGTAATTTAAAAAAAAATGCTTTGGAGCTGGTTTGGGGGAAGGGTGTGGAAGTGAAAGTCACTCTTTCCCCCAAAATCCATGTATAGACCTGGGGAGGAAGCTTATTGAGGGAGCATCCAGGATCTGCCACCCCTCCCAGGAGCAGGAACTGTGGTTAGGATTTGTGTAAGAGTTCCATCTTATGTGCAAAGCTAAGACTAAGACCTGGTTGAATGTGCAGGGTGAGGAGGAAATCTCCTGATAAACTGAGATAGTGACTCTTTCTTTTATAAAGCACTTCAAGATATACGGAAGAAAAACATTGTATCATTATTATTATTATTATTTTATTATTAAACTGGGATCTGAAAAGCTAGTTGGATTCTTTCTTCTTCATACACAATCACCAGTGATCATGATGATAATGCTATAACGTGTTCCATATGTAGATCTCAAGGTATTTTATTTTACAAGGTTGGGTAAGTGTCATTATCCCTTTGTACCGATGGCGTAAGGGAGGCCCAGAAATGTGAAGTGACCCAGGGTCACATAGTCACACAGCCAGAACTAAAACCAAGGTCAACAGTTGGAATCTAAATTTAGCTCTCAGATTTTGCTGATATGGGTGAGGCAGATGGGAATCAAGCTCTCTCTTTCAAGGGGATGACAGCACTTTAAATGCTTGCTTTTGTCTGTGCAGTAAGCAGATGTGACACAGAAGTTGCCCAGAGTGCAAACATAGGCAGCACCTAAGTGTGGTTTTTACAGTCTCTTTTCTTGCACTTCAGAGCAATGAGTTTTGCAAAGTACATAATCTGCATTTTGATGCAAATTTAAGAGGTAAGGATGTTGACATTTCTGTATGTTAAGTATGGTGCAGCAGCAGATTATAATTCCAGACAGGATGCCCATCTTTGGGAGCAGCTTCTGTGATCCTGCTCTCCAACCCAATGGAGATTAAATGCTTCTGCCCTCAGAACATTCCCTGTTGTGTATGTTCTTTATATAAACACCACCACACAGTTCACCACCACTGGGAGCATCTATTTGGGAAACATCCAGGACTGGAATAGCAGGGGGTAGTGCAGGTCAGGACTAAAGTGCATTGACAGAGCTGTGTATGGGGAGCTCAGGTCTAGAAAAATAGAAGCTGTTACAGGCCAAGAATGGTGTGTCAGACTAAGAGAATGTGGGGAAAGATTGCACAATACAGGCCTAAATTATGCCTTTCTTTAACTATTCCTACATCATTAGTTCATAGCTTCCCTGAGAAGCACTTCACAGACATCTTAGGGCTGACTGATAATTCTCCACAGGGCAGGCCAAGTAAACAGCCTTGTTGAATGTCTCCTGTGCAATGAATGTCATTCAGGCACCTTTTCCAGTGCTTATGCTCTTTCCCCATGTGCTTTAATGCTAACAGCAATAAAGCAGCCGAAGCACATGGAGATGGAGTGGGAGTGGCAGAAAAAAGACCTTCCACCACTTTTACTCCCTCTTCCCATTGGATTCAACAACCTAAAAGCACATGGGGGAGAGGGAGCAGAAGGGAAAGAACAGAAAGAGAAGGAACAAGAGAGAAATGAGGAAGAGAAGGAACAAAAGAGGAAAAAGGAGAGAGAAGGAATGAAAGGAGAGAGAGGGAGTAAAGAAGAAAGCTACAAAGAAAAAAAATGACAGAAAAAATGACTGCAATATGGTAGGTGTTTGTTTTCTCTTTTTAGGTTTTGTTTTGTTTGGGAGAGAGGAGGAAGGTACAATCCCTGCTATCATTCCTATTTTCTTCATTTGTCTCCTGCTGCTTCTTTCTACCTTTGTCTCTCTGTCCCTTTGGAGGTGACTGGCACCGGGTCCCTCGGTAACTCTTATCAGACTCTTTGGTCTTTCAGCCAAGTTGTTTGACCAGTTCCCTTGCACAGCATGCGAATTAGCCCATTTTGTACATGCAAACTACGGTGCCCACAAAGTTTCTCCTTTAGAGAAAAGAACTAGTTGGCTTCAGACTAATGGACTGAAATTTCCATTTTCTCTCTTTCTCTCTCTTTAAAGACAATTCCTCGTCTTTCCAGGAAGATGAAGAGGTAGATATGGAGGCTGTCAACTGGCAGCTGAACAGCACCCCCATGAATGGGCACTCTCCAACCCCAACCACAGCTCGTTTCCCCAGCTGGGTGACTTTCGATGACAATGAAGTCAGCTCTGCTTCCCTCCAGAACCTTTCTCCCTTGAAACCAGACACCCCGCCAATAGCAACGCAGACTGCAGATGTGAACTGTAATCTTGCTGCATCCTTTAAGAAGAGGGAGCGCCCCAAGAGCACATTGGTGGACCTCACTAAAGTTCAAAAGCTAGATCTTTCCTCCTTAAGTAGGCTGCCTTCTGTTGGAACACCCCCCTGGAGTGCTACTAATCCCTTCCTGGATGAGTCTCTGAGGGATGTCCAACCCTCACCCATCAACCCGTTCAGCTCATTCTTAGAGGAACGAGATAGGCGTTCCCACAGCTCCTCTCTCTCCAGTGCTCCAGGCCAAAGCCAAAGAGACTCCCTTATTATCCTCTACCAAGAACCTGACACCATCAGCTTTGATGAGTCAAGCAAAAACTTAACCCACACAGATGCTGTCGAGCAGCTCAAGCAGCTCCAGATTGGGGATCCAGATCACCTGAGCAGCACAACTCTACCTGATGATGACCCCCTGATGCCATTTGAAGTGGATGGCACATTGTTGAACTTGGCCCCATCTCAGCCCAAGGACGGCTGGCCAATGATGCTCAGGATACCAGAGAAAAAAAACATCATGTCATCTAGGCATTGGGGGCCAATCTACGTCAAGCTGACTGCAAGCGGGTATCTACAGCTTTTTTATGAGAAGGGACTAGAGAAGCCCTTCAAGGAATTCAAACTTGAGATCAGTCATGAGATTTCAGAGCCCAAGCTCCAAAACTATGATGAGAATGGAAGGATACACAGCGTGCGTATAGACCGCACCATCTACAAGGAGAAAAAGAAGTATCAGCCTAAACCAGCAATCAGCCACGCAGCAGAAAGGGAACAAGTGATAAAGCTAGGCACTACTGATTATGAAGACTTCCTTAGTTTTATCAGCGCAGTTCAGGATATACTAATGGACTTGCCAGCCTCATCAGCAGATCTGAGCACAGTAGGATTAAACTATCAAGAGGAAGAAATCACTGTTGATGTCAAGGATGAGTTTCATGGCATCTTGGCCAAAGGAGACAATAGGATTCTCCAGCATAGCGTGCTGACACATATACATGTTCTCAGCTTCCTTTCTGGCCTTTCAGAATGCAGACTGGGCCTTAATGACATCCTTATAAAAGGGAATGAAATCGTTGCACGGCAGGATATTATGCCCACCACTACCACTAAGTGGATTAAGTTGTATAACTGCCAGTTTCATTCATGTGTGGACGAGGAAATGTTTAACAGCTCCCACGTTATCCAGTTTAATCCCTTGGATGCCTGCCGATTCGAGCTGATGCGGTTCAGGACTGTGTTTGCTGAGAAGACTTTGCCTTTCACTCTGAGAACAGCAGCCACTGTCAAAGGTGCTGAAGTGGAGGTCCAGAGCTGGCTGATGATGTCCACTGGGTTCTCCTCCAACCGTGACCCTCTAACTCAGGTCCCCTGTGAAAATGTGATGGTCCGCTACCCAGTGCCAAATGAATGGGTGAAAAACTTCCGCAGAGAAAGTGTCCTGGGAGAAAAGTCTTTGAAAGCCAAGGTGAACAAGGGTGCCAGTTTTGGATCAACCAGCGTGTCTGGTTCTGAGCCGGTAATGAGAGTAACTTTGGGAACTGCCAAATATGAGCATGCCTTTAATTCCATTGTATGGAGGATAAACCGACTGCCTGACAAAAACTCAGGTGAGTAGAGAGTACTGTGTCTGAGTGGATAAACTTAAAGGAAAGGTATATTTTGGGGGCTGGGAGACATTGGCGTTACATGGTACAGTGGATAAACCATTGTCCTTTTGGAAGGTTCAAAGGGGCATCAGTTGCATGAAATGGCTGGTTGTCTTACTCATCCTAACAGTGGTTTAATGTGTCTCACAAAGAAACACTGTTTTTGACAAAACCATTTTGGTGTAGCCACATGCAAATATGCCTTCCAACCATGGTTTTGTCGGTGCATTCTGGGACTCTTGCCTAAGCTTTCCCATAATGCACTACACTGTTTCTGAGAACAGGTACTTTTTGGGTAACTTCCAAATGTAAGGCATTGTATTGTGTAATATCAGAGGGACCAGCTGAATCACTGTAGCTCCAGCCCTTGTGACTTCCTATCCACAATGTTGTAAATTGCACTGGTTCATCAAGACCTGAGACAAAGATCTCATTGCATGTGTTGCAACCAGAGCTCATACACATACCAGGTATGGCAGTTGTGTGTGGACATAGGGCACTGTGTATACATTACAAGCTAAAAGTATGCCATGCAACAACTTGTGGCTACATCTTTCAACTAGTGTGGACAGGGACTAAGACCTGATTTAACATTTAAAGGGACGCTATCAAGGTAAATCATATAACTTAAAAAACCTGTTCTGCCCTGTATTTTTATAGTTATACCTTTAATTATTAACATTCAAGTAATCTGCAAAATCTAATTTACTTTTTACCACTATTACCATTTGTTCACTTTCTGCCCTTCACCCAGCTTGGGCAGTGAAATTTGACCATATAGTTTATTTTCTGTTTATAGTGAATTACCCTTTCTGGTTCCCATGCCCTTGGCTAATGCAATTCTTTGCATAAACACTGTTTAAAACACTGACTTGTTCCTGTAGCTGCCTCACTGGTCAGGTTCCTGCATGTACTTTTTCCCTACAAGAGAAGTTCCATGATGCTTCAGACTTGGTCCTTTCTGAGAACATCTGTTCTCATTTGGCAGGAAGGAAGGAAAGCATTGAACCAGGTGCTTCTCACCTTTTGGATCACTTTTTAGCTCAATAAGGAATCCACCACAGAGTACAAACCTGGAGAGACATCACCCTAACAACAAATGAGGCTTGGAGAGTTTACTTTGGAGGAGAGACTAGAAGCGAAGAGTAGGGGGAATAAAAAGAAACATCAGAATGAAAGACTAATCTCATGTCAATAGCAGCATCCCTGGAAAAAGCCATACTATCAGCCTGACCCTAAACACAAATAATTATGTGCTTGCTAGGAAAATCCCACTGTGCTGCCTGCATGACCCTTCAGGTCAGGGGATGAAGTTCAGTGACAATTCTTCTTCTCTGGTACCGTCCATCTGAGGATCTCAGTGTGCTTTACAGACATTACAGGGGGGAAAACTGAAGCCCACAGAGATTAAGCATACATCTGCGCTTCAAGATGGATGGTGCAATTTCCAGCTCAAGTTGACATGCCCCTGCTAGCTCTGATCAAGCTAGCATGCTAATAATAGAGTGTAGCCCTGGCAGCGGGAGGGGCTAGCTGCCCCAAGTACATAAACATCCAAGTTGTTAGGCAAGTACTCAGGGTTGCTATCCCTCACACCACCACAACTATGCTCTATTTTTAGTGCACTAGCTCAGTCATTAGCCCAGTCATGTGTCCCTGAGCTGGAATTTACACCTCCAGCTCAAAGTATAGACATAACCTTAAGTGACTTGTCTAAATTCACACAGCATGTCATTAGCAGAATGCTCACAGATTCCAGAATTCTTGACTCTTTTGCTTGCTCAAACCATTAGTGATGCTCCCTTACCCACTTTCACCTTATGTGAAATGTTAACCCAAGTCTCCAGTTCTTTGTCTTTGTCTCTGTCTGTAACCTTACATCTGCCTCCCAGCAGGGGAGGATGAAACTGAAATGCAGTCCCTGCTGTTGGGGCGTCTTCCCACACAGTACTGAGCAGTAGTGACACATGGGTGCTAACTGACTGTCTGATACACCTGGGAGGAGGAGGAGTGCCCTGACTGCAAACAGCCCCTCCTGTCAGGTCACATTGTGATTTGAGGGAAAGGAAAGGGGAGCAAGCATTATGACATGGCCACTGTATCTATGGGAGGTGGTGTGGGCGGGAATCCTAAAGTATTGGTGGAGGTACACCTCTACCCCGATATAACACGACCCGATATAACACGAATTCGGATATAATGCGGTAAAGCGGCGCTCCGGGGGGGCGGGACTGCGCACTCCAGCGGATCAAAGCAAGTTCGATATAACGCAGTAAGATTTTTTGGCTCCCGAGGACAACGTTATATCAGGGTAGGGGTGTATATTTCTTGACAGCACTTATCCCATGGCTCTAGATCAGGGGTAGGCATCCTATGGCACCCATGCCAAAGGCGGTGCGCAAGCTGATTTTCAGTGGCACTTACACTGCCCGGATCCTGGACACTGGTCCAGGGAGCTCTGCATTTTAATTTAATTTTAAATGAACCTTCTTAAACATTTTAAAAACCTTATTTACTTTACATACAACAATAGTTTAGTTATATATTATGGACTTATAGAAAGAGACCTTCTAAAAACATTTAAATGTATTACTGGCACGCGAAATCTTAAATTAGAGTGAATAAATGAAGACTTGGCACACCACTTCTGAAAGGTTGCCAACCCCTACTCTAGATGCTCAGAAAATACAACAAATTTTTAAAAAATACACAGACAGCTGCCTGATTGAAGCCACCCACAAGGTCACCCAAAATATAATAATAGAGACCCACCCATCTAGCCACCCACAAACTTCAGCCCTTATCAAAAGGTGGGCTTTGCTGCATGCCCTGAATGTTGACAAATCCAGGCTCTGGTAGACCAAAAAGGGAGGGCAATTCCACTTTCAAGGACCCCCATGGAAAATACTGTGCAGCAGCCCCCGCCAGTTTAAATCAAGGGGGATTTAGTTGCCTGTCCTTACTGACTGCCACTGAAGGTGGTATTGGAGGGGGAGAGTGGTGGGTCGCTCAGGTAACCAAGTCCTAAACCATTTAACCCAGTGTTCACTTGCAGATCATAAAATCCAAGCACCAGTCTCTAGGAATTATTCCTGTAGCTTCACTGCCTTATCCTGACTTCTTGTCTTTGTGGTTCCTGATATGAACAGGCCCTATGCTCTTCAGCTTCATAACCTGCCACCAAGGTCATCTGCGAAAGCATCTGGGCCATTTGCTTGTGGCTACAAATTCAAAAGCATATGACTGAATCAAACAATCCACGTATTTAGCCATGTGTTTTTCTCTTGGAGGTAACTAATGGCAGGATTCTACAGAGTATATTGCTGAGCTTCTTCACAGAACAGCTTGGTAAACTCTGTTGCTTTTCTCTGATTCACAATGAACTTGTTGACACTGGCTGATAAAGGAGGCCTGTTTATAGGCCCGGCAGAGCCTCAGTCACAACTGGATGTGATTCAGTACAAGAGAACTAATCTGTTTTTACCCTCTAGACCAGGGGTTGGCAACCTTTCAGAAGTGGTGTGCCAAGTCTTCATTTATTCACTCTAATTTAAGATTTTGTGTGCCAGTAATACATTTTAATGTTTTTAGAAAATCTCTTTCTATAAGTCTATAATATATAACTAAACTATTATTGTATGTAAAGTAAATAAGGTTTTTAAAATGTGTAAGAAGCTTCATTTAAAATTAAATTAAAATGCAGAGCCCCCCGGACTGGTGGCCAGGACCCGGGCAGTGTGAGTGCCACTGAAAATCAGCTTGCGTGCCGCTTTTGGCACGCATGCCATAGGTTGCCTACCCCTGCTCTAGACAGTGGAACAAAAGAGTGTTAAGAAAATATCCATACAGAGGCTTCATGATCATGGGAAAAAGCTGTACAAACAAAGCAGAGGTGTGACCCAAACCGGAATCTTGGATCTAGATATCCTGAACTGTGGAGCAGTTTGGCTATGGATCCAGTCCCAAGCATGCTGGCTGGCCGGCCCTACCTGTAAAGTGGGCCAAATTAAAACCCTAGATCTCACCACTTCTGAACTTTGGGGACAATTTAGAACCAGGTCCCTTCCAAACATGGCAGCTCAAGCCCATTTCTGAAACACAAATAATTTTCAATATGGACTTTATTGTGAGGAGTGAGTTATTGAAAGTGAGACTGAGGTGTTTGTGCCTCAGGGAGGCAGCAAGCTCAGAAGAGGATAAATCTGTCTGATGTCTTCTCGGTTTTACTACAAACTTTATCTGTCTTTCAGGTTGAGGAGTCTGATTGGGTGTGGCCAGGGAAATAGAAGTATAATGAAGTTATATTTTGTGACCCCTGATCAATTAATGACTGCATGGGTTCCATATATGTCATAATAACTTTGTGTATTTTTTTGCATTCACAGACATTTCACTTATATAACATAAGTGCCAGACATTTGAGTGGGCACCAACAGTAAATGTTTGAATGATGTGCACAGTGAAATTTGCATGTACTGTTACTCATTATTACTACTAGAATTGATTAAATAGTTTAAAAATAAATGACACCTTCCCCCCATGATTTATTGCTTAGTTCAGTTGTGCAGAGTTCAACTGACTACAGCTCATGGGGTCATGTTATGTGTAAACCAACATAATTTAGGCTAATTTAGGGACTGATCCTGCTCTCTTTGAAGTCAGTGGGAGTTTTACCATTGACTTTGGTTGGTGGGAGTTGGCAGAGGCCTTTAGATTGCAAGTTTTTCACAGCAGGGACCACGTTTGTTTTCTCTCAAGTGCATCAGTGGCATTCTATAAACAATCAAACACTAGTTCAAATAAATGAACATTATGTTTGTTGTGATAGTTAAAGACCTTCCTTATTTGTCCTGTTGCCAGACAAGTAGGTTCAATGTTTAGTTTCATTCTCATGATGTTACACAGTGTCCGAGTTTTTTTTATTATAGGTGGGGCTAGTTGCACCACCTATCATTTAGGTTGCTTGACATTTCCTATTACGAGACCCTGTTTTGACAAACTTTAACTGTTTGGGCTTAAATTTTTACATGCCAGGTGTCTTCCTCTGGCTTTTTTTTTTTCTTTTTCCTTTTAACTTCAGCCAGAGAGGAATCAGAGAAAGAGGCTAGGGACTCATCCATTGTTTAGCCTATGTTAAAAAATTATTGAGATCCTTCCTCTGAAATGCTCTAGTGACCCCCATGCTTTGAAGCAGGGATTTCAAAGTTGGCAGGGAGTGGTCTTTCTATCAGGGATGTGCCATTTACCATTCACATGAAAATTCACCATCCCTCCAGATGGTTCAGCATTCTCTGCTCTCTCTGGCCAGACAGTTCCATTGGCCTTTGGAGGTGTGGATGTAATGCTGCCTCCTATCCACGTTCGTCTCCCTTTCTGGGGTGTTTCTGCTGACAGAGGTTTTAGGAGAATACAGTCTCTGTGCTTACGGGAGACCGTAATTTTACCCAGCCACAACATATACAATGTTGGGAAAGATTCCTTGTCTCCCCCTCCCCTTGTGCATCCATGCTGTAGTCAGACACAGCTTGTTCCTTAACCTCTCTGTGCTTCAGTTCCCCCCCACCCCAAACAGGAATACTTCCTTACCTCACAGTGGTGGTCTGTGGATTAAATATAGATAATGGGTACAATTTTCAAAGCGTCTAAGTCCTGTTTTCAAAAGTCAGTGGGACTTAGCCTCGTAAGTGACAAAAGGCCCAGATTTTTAAATGTATTTACATATTATTTTTGAAAATGGTACTTAGGGTATGTGTCTACACTGCAATAGGGAGGTATGTTTGCAGCCACTGTAGGCATACCTGAGCTAGTTTGTCAAAGCTAGCTCGAGTAACAATAGCAGTGAAGCCACAGCAGCACCAGGATTTGAGTATGTACTCAGGGTCCAAGGCAGGCGGGGCTATCTCTTGCAGCCGGTCATGCTGCCACAGCTTCACTGCTACTGTTACTTGAGCTAGCTGTGATCTATCTGGATCAGAGCTAGTTTGGATATGTCTACACTAGCTACAATCACACCTGTGGATTGTAATGTAGACATGCCCATAGGCTACATCTACACTGCAGCTGGGAGGTGTAGTTCCCCTCTCAGCTAGATGTATATGCACTACTCTGCTCAAACTAGTGCACTAAAAGTAGCAGTGTGGCCATAGTGGCACAAGCAGCAGCTCGGGCTCACCGTCCAAGTACATACCTGGGATCTTGGACAGGGTGGTACTTAGGCAGTTAGCCCAAGCTGCCACAACTACACTGCTGTTTTTAGCACACTAACACAAGCACAGCGCACCGATCTGGGAATCACACCTCTCAGCTGCAGCGTAGATGTAGCCAGAGTCTCCTAAGTCATTTAGATGCTTTTTAAAAATTGTCTGCAAAGTGTTTTGAAGATGAAAAGCCAGAATTAATGTTCAGCGGTGTTGAAATTATTTATTTTAAGTCCATTTATTGGAAAAAATAAAGTCATATTCTCCTTTTCTTTGCAACACAAGGAACAAATGAGTACCATATTATTTTAACATTTTGGGGGGTTCTTTGTGCTCTTTTAAATTAAACCTTTTCCTCCTCCTTCTGAAGCATGTCCTTTGATAGGCTCTTGACTTATACATGGAGAAGGCACAACCCTTAAACCTTGTGCTCAGGATGTAGTCAACTGGAGTTTTCTTGGAAACCTGCTTCCAGTTGCTTTTCCATTATGGAAGAGCAAAGCCATTCTGTGTCCTTGAACCCCATAAGGATCCTTGAACCTTGACCCAAAACTTCCGTCAAGGCATATTTGAAGTCTGTAAAAGTTCAGTTAACACCCTTGTTCTTCATTGTTTTTCGTCTATGCACACCCCCGTCCAACTGAAGATGGGAACACCAGTGCATTCTGAAGAACCTGTTTGTGCAATATTTACTGTACGTTTATACAGTCCTTAGCACAATGGGACCCTAACCTGACTGAAGCAATATAAAATATTTATTATTATTATTGTTTATTATTTAATAATAATAATAATGTTATTTCTGGTCTGACCAGAAGCAGCATTTAACTTAAACTTCATTAGGAAGCCTTTGTGCATGACTGAGTAGTGTTTGTGCAGTGCTTTGAAAATACCAAATGCTCTGTGGATGGAATTCACCCCTCTGAAGAGGGACTTGCACAAGGCCTATAAATCCCACTTAAGCTCTATTTTGAGGGCTGAAGTGAGACTCAGAGGTGCTTAGGCATTGTCTAGTGCTAGCTCTCTGCACAAGGGTGAATTTCACCCTGTCAGTGCTAAGAGTTAGTACTATCATTGAAGATACCCTGCCTTGCTTTGCAGGCTCAGTGGGCTGGATATTTTGGAATAAACTCTGGGTGTGCTCATTGTTTGGGTAGTTGTCTGAACTGCTGGTCTTCCAGGGCCCAATCCTGCAAGCCCATCACGTATGGTACTCCCATTCTGCTCCATGTGGAGGGCTTTCAGGCTTCTTTCCACTCTTACTTCACAAACCCAATCTCCTGCATTCCTTTTTAGCTTTTCAGTGTGCATCTTGATCACCTGTATAAAAGGCAAATGCTCCCATAGTGATTGCAAAATGGATGGTTAGAAATTAAACATCACCATGCACAACCAGGTGGCCAGAGTCTTGTGTCATGCATGGATTTGTTTTACTTAGACAAATGTAAGAATAATAATCATGCTTAGGATCAATCTAACACCCTTCAGCCAAGGTTCTCAAAGTGCTTTTGAAAGATACTATCCTCATTTTGCAGATGGAAAAATTGAGGCATAAAGAGGTTAATTGACTTGCCCAAGTTCACAGTGAGTTGATGACAGGCAGGAATAGAACCCATATGTCCTGATGGTCAGCCTATGCTCTAATGACTAGACCACACTGCTTTCCAACAAGCCAGAGGGGACAGAAAACAAAATGTAATGCTCACAGATCACTACAATTTTAAACTATCACTTACATTGCCCTTTTTAAGGAGTGAGTATTGTGTACGGGGATGGAGTAATGAACTAGAAGTTGGAATTCCTCGGTTCTGTTCCTAGCTTTGCCATTTACTTGCTGTGTGACCTTAAAGAAATCATTTAATTTTTTTTATTTTGTTTTCCTATCTATAAAATGGTTATAATATGTAGCTGAAAGGCCAATGTGATCCTCAGATGAAAGACATCATTGGACTGTGTACTGCAAGATCCTGCCTTTGGCTGTGCCCAATACCTGATGCGTCAGAGGAAGTAAAAAACTGCCCAGAGTACACCAGTGCTGTACATGGAAATAGGTTGGAGAATTCCTTCCTGATCCCTGTGGTGACTGGTTTATACCCAGAATTCTCATTCACTGAAGCCACTCTAGAATGATCAACTATCATCCCTGCAGCTTGTTTACTTTAGTCATCTCTGAAAGCTCCAGCTGCACTGTAGCTATTATGACTTCATAACTTACTCAGGCAGATTCTCTGTTTACCCCTGTTTTAAGATGCTTCTTCCTAGGTGTTGCCCTTGTTAATCTTCACAACAGTTTTAAGTTTAATTTTCTCTCTCTTCCCAGCTTCCGGCCATCCCCACTGCTTTTTTTGCCACCTGGAGCTTGGCTCTGACCGGGAAGTGCCTTCCAGTTTCGTCCGCTATGTGAACGTGGAGTTTGACATGCCCACCACTTCGGCGTCCAAAGCCACTGTTCGGTCCATTTCTGTAGAGGACAAGAGTGATGTCAGGAAATGGGTCAACTATTCAGCACACTATAGTTACAAGGTAAAGTGAGCAGCCGGCAGACACTGCGGCTAACGTAGCTGTTGCATGACTCATTTTTCTTTAGATGTATTTAATGCTGGTGAAAGAGATGATTTATCAAGGTGACACAGAGTCAGAGGTGGGAGCAGAACTCTTGACTCCCAGCCCTGTGCTTAGACAATCCTAACTCATCGCGCTTTGAATTCCTGTATCCATCGCTGCCAAACAAGTAACTGTTGAGCGACACAAGGTTTCCCCATGCTTTTCTGTAGGAGTAGTACACACCTTTCTTTCTAGCTTCAGCAATTTTGCAGGTATTCTAGTCAAAAGTAAATATTTCAGTACTTTTAAATTGTGATGGGCTAATTCCTGAGCTGGCATAAATCAGCATAGCGCTATTTGTTTCAGTGGAACTACACCAATGTGCACCAGCTAAAGATGTAGGGTAAAATCTTCAAAAATGCCTAAGTCCCGTTTTAGAAATGACTTTCAATGAGACGTAGGCACCTAAAGGCCAGATTTTTAAAGATATTTTGGCACCTAAGTATAATTGGTCAGGAATTTCTCGACATCTTTTTCTTTTCTTTTGGGGGGTGGGGAGTGAGAAGGGGGCAGATTTGTCAAAACCAAAACTTTTTGTGGAAACGGACCAGTTTTGACAAATCTTTTGTCTGGAAGTTTTCATGGGTCTAGGATGGAATTTCTGGTCAAAACTAGGAGAGATTCCAAAATAACCAATAGCCTGATTCAGAGGGACTTAGAACCTGGGTTTTCCACACCCCAGGCAACTGCCATAACCACTGACCTATAGAGTCAGAATGTGTTTGTCTCTGTTTCAAAGTAGGGAGGGACTAGAGCTTCCCGATTAAATGTCTGTAAGACTTTTTGATATGGGCAAAACAATATATTTTTTCTATAACCTTGTTTTCAGAAACGATGGAACCATTTTTGCTGAAATTTTCTACAACAAATTCAGCCTGAGGCAGCTACTTGGCATGTAAAATTTCAGACAAAATGGTTAAATTTAGGCAAAGTTGCTAGCAGCTGAAAACAGGGTTCTATAATGGAAAATGCTGGACAACCTTAACTAAGGGGGTGCTATCAGCTCTGCCTGTAATAAGCCAAGATGAAGTAGAAAGATCCTGGTCTCTATCATCACTCCTTCTGGGAACCTAAGGGAATGGACAGCTAGAATCTTGGGCATCCAGGACTTTACTATTGTTTTACATCATTTTGCTGGTGCCAGTGTTTGGTAAATCAGAAATACTTAGAGAGCAGGCTGTGGTGTGCCACAGAATTAGGTTTTCAAACACGTTTTAAAAGGGCTTTCTTCTCCCAAGAGTGTTCAGCCCAGCATGTTGACTTTATTTATGACTATGCAGAGATTGAGTGTTTGTACACAGATGGATCTGAACTGTTTTTATTTTACTCTTGAATGTTTTTAGTGTGTTAAACTGTATATGTTTCATTGTAAAATTTCTGGGATACTGTTGTAGATTGGTGCTATTTAGAAATACAGTTACTATTATAATTAACAATATCAGATATGATCAAAACAAGAATCTCTAATCTAAACCCCTTTGAATTTCAGGGAGGCATGGATTCAGAACTTATGATCAAAGTCTTCTGCAATTTTAGATTGTGGGTTTGGATCTAAAACCAGAAGGGGGATGATATAAGTATCAGTTTGACTGTATCCAAAGTCACTCACGGACAGTTCTTTTCATGACGTTTTGATCCCAAATTGTGAGAAATTGTACAAAATTGCTGTCAGTTTGGATGAAACCACTGAGATCTGCTCAAAAGATTGAAGCATTGTTCAGTCTCTAAACTCTAGCCCTCATGTGACCTCAAACCTGAAATTGAAAACCCTGTACTAAACTTAATCCAGATCCAGAGCCCCATCCTCAGCCCATATCTAATTATAACCTGTGGTTGAGAGCAAGTAATTTCCCAGCCTCTGTGATAATCCAGAAGTTTGTGGCCTGAGAAGAACATAAAATCAGAAGCTGGTTAGAACTTCTTGTTCTTTTCTTTCCTTTTTCAGTACAGATGTTTCCCCTCTTTTCTTTCTTGTCAGGTGGAAATAGAACAGAAAAAGAACTTGAATCTTGATCTGAAGGGAGCAGAAATTGAAAATCCGAAGGAATGTGCCATGCAGTGAAGGAAGACTTGTCTGCAAGACCCATGGGAGGAGCAGTAATGTCAACGGACCCAGCTGAAGAGAACTACAACACCTAGCTTCTGCTGTAAGAGGGACGGTTTTATGGCCTGCAGCATGCAGGGGGTCAGACCAGATGATCATAATGGTCCCTTCTGACCTTAAAGTCTATGAGTCTATGAGTCTAAGTACAAAGCAGTACTTTTTTAAAAAAATGCTCTTCAGTGTGACTGTATCTTGAGTTTCCTGGCTCACTATGATCTGTATTTTGGCAGGAGGTTCATTGACGGTTTATTTAGAAGAGCTTAGGGATTTGCTGGAACATTTTAAATTCATCCAATGTATTGACAGAAAGACTTACACTACATTCAAGCCTGCCTTCCTTTCTGCTTCTTCACCATTTACCTTTCTGCACTGAAGTATGTTATGTCGACAACTGCAGCCAAAACAAAAAGCAACCCTGACCTCGCTTACAGTCTTCTCCTATCATTTGAATGTTTTCTTGTAAACGGGTGGTTTGGTCATCAGCAGAGCCTTTCCTTGGGATCTGCAGAATAAAACCTTTTGAGAGCTAAGCAATGGGGGAACTGGGGAACAGCAAGGGGAAAAGTGGTACATGAAAAGGTCTTTCTTTTATGAAATAGTCAACAGAATAAAAATTTCCCTACATCCAGAACATAGTGAACACCAAGGAAATAAACAACAAATAATATGGCTGATTATCTGACTCTTCCCAATCAACTTTTCTTATCTCATCCTCTAAACCCAAACACTAAAGTAATGCACATTTTTATAGGATCTTGACTAGTCATGAGAAAAATTCATTTGTTCTTAAGGTTTTCACTTGCTGGTCAGGTTTATGCCATTAGCTTGATTGAACATGTGATAGCTGCTTTTAATAGAGAGTGTGCAGTGTATAGCAGGGATAGGGCAGGGGCATTACTGAGATTAGATCATTCCTGCCTAGAAAGATATCTGAGGGAAATAGATTTTATTTTAACATTTTCCTGAATGGTTAAGTAGACTGGTTACTGGTTCATGTTGTTTGGACAGGAGGATCTTGTGTTCCCGATACTTTGGAAGTCATTATAAGAAGTAAATGTTGTGTGTTCTGTCCTTGCAATACAATGTTGCTTTCAGGTTTCACCCTAACAGCAGGGCTGGCTCCAGGCACCAGCTGAGCAAGCTGGTGCTTGGGGCAGCAGATTGTTCGAGGCGGCATTCTGCCCAATCCTAGGGCGGCACGGCCGCTTTTTAAAATTTATTTATTTTTTGTTCCGCTCCGGCCGCCCTATAGGGGGCGGCGGCATGGAGAACCAGAACGCCCTGCAGGGCAGTCCTCTTCCTTCCCTCCACGCTGACCAGAGCAGAGCCCTCGCAGCAGGCGGCAGGAGGCGGCGCAGCGGGAGGGGCCATGTGGTAGCGCCCCCGCTGTAGCCCTGGCCGCCCCCTTTTCTCTCTCTCCCGCCCGCTCCCTCCCTCCTCCCCTCCAGCAGGTCCCCTTGCATAGGGTTACCATACGTCCGGATTTTCCCGGACATGTCCGGCTTTTGGGGGCTCAAATCCCCGTCCGGGGGGAAATCCCCCAAAGCCGGGCATGTCCGGGAAAATCGGGAGGCTCGGCCGGGGCCTCTTTGTCCGGGGTCGGGGGCCTGGTGCCGGGCCGGGAGCGCGGTGCCGGGCCGGGCCCGTGGGGCCAGGTCGGGGAGCCGGGCCGGGGG